TTGTTTCCGTAAAATGAAATTCTGAAGGACACAGTATTGTAATAGTAGCAATAGAATAATAAGTGACGCACCATGAAGTCATAGAACATGTAAATCCGCTAACGTCCTACTTGAATGGCCATGGCAGAACTTAAATTCACACATGTTATGGTAAGGAAAAAAGGTAGGCAACTTGATCACATTGCAGAGTCGTTGAACAAATGAACAAAGAAACAAAGGATACAAATGTGCTACATGAGAGCGGGACATGTTAGCTAGTCCAAGTGTGATCCAGAAGAAGCGGAGCTTGGAGAGTACAAGTCATGATCAAGGATTGCAGGTAAGTCTTCTACCGATCGCAAGTCGGTCAATCTGAGTTCGTGTGCCAGGTGGAGAATCAAGGAAGGGATCCAAGGGCGTCGTTGGAGAAAGAGAGAGACAGACAGTTGACCCCGTTTACGTGACCAAAGTTCTCGAGACACGCGTTCTCGCCTAATTTGGTTCCGCTTTCACACCAAATTGCTTAGACTTGATTACATTTGGTCGTAGTACGATACTACAAGCACAATATCCTTTCCGAACGCTCTGATAAGCTGATAAGTGATAGAATTTGATCTACATCTAAAACAACAGATAAGCGACCTCAAGTGAAAGTTAAGCAAAAGTGCAAGTGAACTTAAGTGATTATTTTGCCTAACAAATGAAATTGTTAACCACCTGCACTACTCGTTATTATATTCTTAGGCTAAGAATTTTCGTTATCTTATCTCAAAAATTATTGCTATTTCGAAAAATGATGAGAATCCAAAAAAAAATTACAAAGTTTTGGGCCCCGCAAAAAGACCTCCGAGTCCGCACTCAGGGGGCCATAACGATCAACGTCATAGGTTGTTTCGTCAACGTTTCAACAGTCGTGGGTTGTCTCAGATGGTGCAGGTTGAGATCGGGCTGGCATCTAGCGTGTCAAAACTTTTTTTCTTTTTCGAGAATCTCATCATTTTTGAAGATAGCAATAAATAAACGGTTATCTAATTCATGCTTGATCGGCAACTTATAGTTTTTTTCTGGAGCCAGAACTCGGAACAATATTCACATAAAATAGTAATAAATCATTACAATTCATCGTAAAATCTACCACAGCTTCCAAGGCAAACACGTCGTTTTCCACATCCCGACACACCTCAGGACATGGACATCATGTTCCCTTCTAGCTCGATAAACCCACAAATCCGTCGAAACGTCCAATTCCAACGGCTTATCCGAGCGAAAGTGACTGATAGCACTTTGTATACATAGGCTCGTAAACTCGTGAGTTGGTTTTGGGCCCCGCAAATAAAGGTGTCGTAAACTTGGTAGCAGGGCGAGGAGATGTTGGAGGTCCACCTGGCGTAAGCGTTGATTGAGTTCACGACAAGATTTCCAAGATACTCACAGCAACTTGTCGTGGATCGTACACGACACCAGGCTGATGCGTCACATAGATGGGCACGTTCAGCTCGACCAACCCCACGCACCATGATAACACCTCAAGAACACGCGGACCAACGCACCATTTCCCCACCGACTTAATCTCAATGGAGAGCTTTCTCAATGAGTAGGAATGTTGTACGAGAACGTGCCGATAGAACGCCTCCGCGTGATGATCGTTCACCGGTGACAACGAAAGCACCTCTAGACCAGAGTAAGACTCGAGATACGCCATGAGGGCGTCTGTTGTGGTATTAGTGAGTAAAGTGACGAGTTTAACTCCCTTATGGGTGAGTGCCATCCAAAAGTCGTCTGGGATGTCAACGTTTGCGGCGCGGAGATGGCGAAGATGGGGCAGGAATCGCGGGATGGTAGCGTCCAAGGAACATCCAACGAAAATACTAGTGATAGCAGGGACGGCGCGGATATTGTACCGGGCCTCGATTTCACTGAGTGATGTCACGAGTACGGACCGTCCACCAAAGATGGTTAAACGGGTCAGCCCAGGATTGTTCGCGAGCAATGGACCGAGGACAGTTTCGTAGGAACTGGCTTCTCCCCATATTTCTACAGAGTGGAGGTTTTTGAATTGACTCAAGGAGGATCTGGTCAGATATGGGGGAACCAGAAGGAATGGGCCATGTCCGAAATCGAGGCTCAAGCTGGTGAGGCAGGGTAGACTCGCCAGAGCCCGGACGATGGTTTCGACATCAGCAGCCTTGTAACCACCTGAAGGCTCCAAATCACAGCTGAGATGCGATCATCAGATTTTAACAGCATACAACCAACACGAGAAACCACACACTGAATATACTCCAGGGAAACAAACTGCGGGATCACGCGAACGATTAGCTTCAGCATCCTCTCCAACGCGCGCGCCTTCGTACGAGCCGTCCTGTTATAGGCATCTGCCAACTCGGAACGGCGAGAGTTGTAACGATGAGGGAAGATCGCGAAGATCGACAAGTTATGCACGAATTTCGCCACGTTCGTCTCTCCGCAGGACAGGCTCTTGAGAAGGGAGATGTTTCTGTCGTTCTGGGATTCACGACCGATTTGGATCCTTAGATCGGAGAAGATTTTAGGCTTGCACGCGGCACGTGCTTGCTTGCATGATGAACCCAAACGTAAGAGGTCGCTGTGGTTATTCAACTAAAGAGGTTTCAGGTTGTAAGATAAGTGTGCAGACTATAAAATTAGAACGCGTACCTGTTTTACGACATGGTCTGTTAGTTCTGCAGGTAAATCAAATAGCATTCTCCGGTGAGAGCCTGGATGATAGTACTGTAGGACGGCGGCAGTGATAATGATAGTAGGGTTTGGTTATAACCAAGTCGATTGGGCTGAGAGCTGTCGTAGCCGGCAGTCATACGTGGTCACCGCGTCGTCAGAGAGGGAGGAAATGCAAGACAATTTGGTAGGATGGCGACAGTGATAGTGAGAGTAAGGGTTTAGTTACAACGAAGTCGTCAATTGAGCTGAGAATTATCGTAGCCGACGGTCGTGCGATTTGATTCCTGATCCACCGTGTAACCGTCAGAGACGGAGAAAAACGCAAGACGAACGTGATATCTCGTCAGAGTGAAGTATTGCTCGGGAGTAAGTTTAGCAAAACATGGAAAGGAGAGTGTTGTGGCGCAGTGTACCCATTTATCTGAACCAAGGCGACAACAACTGTAGGGCACTTGATTTCTGGACAATGATATAAGGGAACATCTAGCCAAAAGAGGTCGAGTACCTGAGGCGGATAATATAAAGATCCGGAAGCGATAAGCAGGAGACGGTGGGTACCTGCTGATTTCATTTTAGTGGGCCAACAACTCGACAGACATAGTTCTCACGTCTGAGCTGCTCCACTATTGATCGTACTCTTTAACCCACATCAAAATTTCCCACCACAAAACTTCGATACCGGCGGCATATCATTGATATCTTCGTCACTTGTCACTTTGAACAGCAATCTGTGCCAAATCTGTGCTGCTCGTCAGAAAAGATGGTGCCTAAGTAACTGATGCAGGCTAGCTTATGATATATATGATGGAGGAACAGAATCACTTTCTGGACCAGGAGCTTCTAGACCGAGTATATAAGACGCTGCAGTGAGATGTGGACACGGTTATAGGGTGGAAAGAGCGTAGAATTTTCAGATCCAGATTCTTGGCGCGAAGGCGGCAATCCCGGCCCGATACCGTATTCCTCTCTTTACAGAGAAAAACTCGTCAAACTCATGCTCTCTGTGTAGCTCATATCCCTCCCGGCACATTATCTCATACTCAAGAAATAGGTGGAAGACTGCAGAAGTACAGACCCTTCAACCCTTGCATTCCTTAGATTCAGCTGACCTGCCAAGACTGTCATGTTGAACGTTTTCGAGTTCGTCTCGGGTTCTATGATTCATAAGACCATCAACTCCATCACTGCCGATAGAGTCCATCAAAGGTTATGTCTGGAAGAATTAGGACGAATGAACCACTGCACACGAGCTCAAAAAAATAACCCACCAAGGAAGTAAAATACAACTGAAGAATAAAAATATTTCGACCAAAACTTCGCAACCGGACGATCCCGTGGACAATGCAGCAAAGCGGTAGACTTGGCTTCTTCAGGTGAGCGGGCAGAGGGGGAAAGGTATAGTGAAAAGACGTCATCCTCATTGATGACTTACCCGAGCTAGCATTCACGCGGCCAAAAAATAGACTTTGGAAGACATATAAACCATTGTTTGCGAATACGTAAGAGACTTTCGTGCACACGAAATGCGTATGAAGACAACAGATTAATTAAAAGGAGTATCCCAGCTGCCAAAAGAGAAAATAAGCTGAAGGCAGGGGTAATGAAGGATCCGGTCTACTCACGTAGTGGGAACGTCCTCTTCCGTGAGTCCCGTAGCGTTCACCGGTATACCCAAACTCCCACTAATCGTTGCCTCCCTACATGATTTCACAGTCAAAAATACTAACCATCGTTGAAGACCCAATACACACCTCAGATCCACGTCCAGGTTGATTAGGTCAAGATCTCCCTGCGAAATAATGTTCAATGTGGCCAACCCACCCTGAATGAGCGACACATTCTCAATGATACCGGAACTTGCTGTTCCGAGGATTGGAACAACGATAGGGTCCGCAAAAGTGTGGTCGAAGGAGATGTATTCCGTGGAGTCGATACCAGCGGAGACAACGACATGGTTCTTGGAGTTGACGAGGTAGGTAGACGGACGTGGTGAACGGAAAACGGATTCGGGAGAACACGGACGCTGTAATAGAACGACGTATTGTTAATCTCAGCGGTTGGTAGAAAGCTGAGATGTGTGGGGCGGTGCATCGTACCGAAATAGGAAGAAAAATCAAATAGTAAGAGTCCGTGTTCGTGTCGTACTAATTCTACGTCTAACAATGGTCGAGGGTGATCTCGACGATGAAGGGGTTGGTGACTGTTATCCAATGGTCAAGACCAGTGAACAGAGAAGGAGAGAGAGGTACCATTGAAGGAGAGGCTAGCACGAGTGGGAATGAATACTAGGCAAAAACAAGATAGTAGCAAGAAAGACGTACTCGGCGACGTTAGTAACAAGAGATTCCAACTGCGTGAACGTTAGCTTTCAATGAGGCCTACAATGAAAGAGCGTACAGTCATGGTCACACTAATACTAGTTACGAGCCCGTCCAGAGGATCAGCAGCCGATGAGGTGGGAGCACCACAGAAAAAGGCGAGAATAGAGAAGAGAATGAAACTGAACAACATTGGAACAGTTGAGAGATATTCGTGTCGGACACATCGAGTTTATAGGCAGAAAAAGAGCTCGCACAATGGAGAAAAAAAAGAACGGGTGCCGAGCCGTGTATAATTTTCCGAGAACACTAGGAATAATGGATTACCAGTGAGGATCAGTCGGAGAAGCGAGACCACCTGAAGCGCACCTGTACGGCCATAGGAAACCGATGAATTCCATGCCTACTGGGGGCTCGTAAGGACAGAGAATTCGTCAAAGAAAACAGTATATGTCGCTAAAAGTTGTCCTATGACAAAGTGAAGCATGAGGTTGTGGAGACCCAGTAGAGACTCGGGGCATCGCATTAAAGACTGAAGCCGTTGTCGGCGCCCTCTAGTCCACTGCTGGTTTGTTTTTTAACATTCAACATTTAGGCTGTGTCTCTTTCATTTCGTTAGTTTGGGTTTTGTCAAGATATATTCACAGCGTTCCTTCAACAATTGCCCTGGTCCTGACCGACGCACTGAGCAAACCGGCCATGATCCCAATGCCTTACAACGAAATCCATATCATCCCTCGGGATCCACCACTCCAGAAACATGAAAAACAGGCAATCCACAACCAGGATGATCAAGTATATCGGTCCAGCAAAGGGACCTAATCCCATCGTCCTCTTCATTCTCTCCCAGAGATCCATCTGTCTCGACTTGACAACGGTATCATACACAACCTCGGTGCGCTCCGCGACCTGCGCCCAGTCGTAGAACGTCTTGACCCGCTCATGGGCGCGAATCGGGTCGTGTAGCCCGTCGGAGATAATCTCGATAGCTTCTGATATCGCACGGAACACATCATCTTCCTCAGGCTCCGCAAAGCTGATCATATCCTCTGGTAAAATCTCCGGGACCCCGCCGACACGTGTAGACACCACGTACAGTCCTGCACATGCTGCCTCAAGGATGGCGATCCCAAAAGATTCCGTGAGGGACGTGTTGAGGAATATAGCACCCTGCATTAGG